CATGTCTTTTTTGTTTTATAAGTCTTCTTTATTTGTTTAAACATGGGAATAACTTTATAAATAAATTACTGGAACTAGTTTTTGTGCAATGTACTGTTTATAAGGTTGCAGAAGCCTGCAGTCAGCTGAGACTGAAGAAGTCACTTGGATGAGTGATGAAACATTTCTCCCACTGAAAACGCTACGTCCAGATGAACAGAATCAACCTTTTAGGGTGCTGGAACTAGAGCTTTCCTCTTTTCATTGAAACTGGTCATTCTTGGGGGGGGTTGTTCATACTTTTAGAGCAGCCATGCATCCCTTCCATCTCTCCATCTACAAGTTGTACCATAGACTCTTTGATATAAAATGTCTATAATTTTTAAATCAACAGATGAATACAGCGCAGTAAAACGCAGTAGATTTCATCCAATACAAGGCTTTATTCAAGAGTTTTGGATTGCTCAAATAAGCTGCGTCTTTCTGCATCCAGTTCTAAGATAAAACCATACAGCACTCGCTAATTTTACACTGTTGTGGTATCACAATGTCTTGTTTACTGTCGCTATCTATGTATTTGGAACTACACTGATAAGAAAATAAATTCTTAGCATAGAAAGCAGGTTTCAAGTGAAATATTTTGGGAAGATAGGCAGCAGGGTGGTGCAGTGATTAGCACTGGTGCCTCACAGCAACAAGGTGCTAAATTTTGACGCCACCATCTAAACCGGGCCTTTCTGTGTGGAGTTTGCGTGGGTTCTCTCCAGGTACTCTGGCTGCTCCACACAGTTTAAAGACATGCAGTTAGTGGGGATAGGTTAATTGTGAGTGGTTGTCTGACTCTCTGTGTCAGCCCTGTGACAGACTGGAGACCTGCCCAGGGAGTACTCGTGCCCTATAGTGGTGGGGACATGCTCCAGCCCCACTGTAACCTTGATAAGCAAAAGAGGATGGATGGATGGATAACTTTGGAGGAGTGGTAGTTGTTGTTCAAAAGTGACTTTGCATAACTGTACAACTGGCAAAATTATCGTCCATGGCGTACTTTTTACACAGAAGAATATCACATATTAGCAGTACTTTGCACCTCACCTGAGCTGTGTCTGCGGGTTGTTCCAGTGAATCTGAGGAGGGAGTTGTATTAACCGTGAAGGAG